GGGCCTGGGTGCCGAACAGCCCCTTTGAGAGGATTTTGTTGTGGAGTGTTTGGAGTATTATTTTTTTTGGGGGGGGGTGTTAGGGTTCAGGGTTTAGGGTTTTGTTGAGGATTCTTTTTTTTGGGTGGTTAGGGCCTATAGAGAGTTATGAAGCTCTATACCAAAAACCATGAATGGTTTAGACCCAGGGGGTGGGTTAATATCTGGTCGAAGGGTGTTTGTGTTCAAGGGAGAAGAGTCTGTGAGCTTGGAGTTCAGCAGCACCCCCCCAACACTTTGGGTTCCAAAAGCCCACACTGCCGTAGCCGAAGCTGGATAAGAGATTACAAATTAGAGTCTTGGGATTTGCAGTACAGTCAACTTTACACAAAAACCCCGTGAGATACAAATCCGAGCAACTTGCCATACTACTCCATACTGGTTTCGTTGTCAAGTTTTTGTTACACGTATAACACAGCCGGAAACCCTATAATACCTCCTTAAGTAGGTGCGGATGCAACATTTTTCACAATATCTTTCAAGAAGGAACTCCCCAGGAATACGATTTTAGTAGTTTTTTTAGGCATTTATATTGCATCGAAAGATGTATCACGCATGGTGCCTGCTTCGGTCTATATAATTTCAAGGGTTTAGATGCAACCCTAAACCTCAAAATGCTACACACCTCTTGCCCCCTATATTCCTAAACACTCCAAACCCCAACCGGGAAGTATCGGAAAGTCTTACACCCGCACCACCACCAAAAGACTATTCCCCAAAACCTCGAACTGAGGCGCGGCATCCTGAAGTAAGATTCTTCGAGCCAAATAACAGAAAACACCAGGCCCCTGATCCTAATCCCTAAACCCTGCAAACCCTATACTTAAAAGCCCAGAAGCTCACATAAACTCTAAACCTTCCAAGCCCTATGCAAGCTCCCGGAAGCTGAGCCCTACACCTACGCCCCACGAAACCGTATGTCAGGCCTTCAAACCCAACACCTACAGGCCTTTGCAGTTGATCTCTAAACCTTAAGCTTGAAGCCCACTCCATACCTAAAGCTTGAGGCCCCTACAGAAAGGCCCCTGCAAGAAACCTTACACCTAAAGGCTCCTAAAACCCCTACAAAACCCTAAACCCTACACCTACTTCTAGGGCCCGTCATGCTGAAGCC